ACAAAATTAGTTTGAGCACTTTAATAGCTAATATACAAGCGTACAAGTTATTAATATATTTTTTCGAACTATTTTCTTTTAAATATACTTTTCCATGAAACTAATAAAAGAACTTAGTGATTCAGTTATTTTTAATTAACGTTGGAATTTGGAGCTAAAAAATTTTTTATATGTAATGAAAAATGTTATGTATTTCTCATATTATATGATAAATAAATAAATATATGTATATCAATATATCTACAATCCTTGTAATTAATTGAAAATAATTTTATTGCAAAGCTCTCATAAAATTATAATAATTCTTTATGCAGCGTAGAAAAGGCGTTTAAATATTTATTCATCTTATACGTAGAATATTGATGATGTAAGTAAATTTCTTTTTCATTTTTTAAGTATTTTAAATTATTTGAACAAATTTTTCATTTAAAAATACTTGAGTTTTTTTAAACAACGGTATTATTTACTGAATTTACGGTAGTTACTGAATGACTAAATAAAAATAATTATCAAATGTGCCTGATGTGTTGCTTGTTAGTTTTATAAATTATTTTTTTATACAGATAAAATAAATATGGAATACATTTTCTAAGGCACCTCTATACATAAATTCAATTACGCTATCTTAAGATTAGAACATTTTTCGGAGATTTTGTACAAATTACTATGATAGAATATGGTTATTTATATTATACTTTGTATGTGAAATAAAATAATAATTGTTTGCTTTATCAATAGAACGTTTAATATTCTAACTGTTATTTAAAAATAATAATAACTCTTATAATCATTATAAAATGAAGATATATGGATAAGGATGACCAGTTACTTAATACAGATATATTTTTGTTCGATTACGGTTAATTATTAACAAATACATTTCTTTAATATCATAATATTGATTATTTATTTTATTTTACAATTTTTAAGTTCTTATATTATATTTATTTTTTTTCCTTTTTGAATGATAGATAATTTAAAATCTTTCTGTTATAAAAATGTAGCTTCTGCATTAAGTTCGGTAAATAATATTACAATATTATAGGGAAAAAAAAAAAAAAAAAAAGTAAACTTTATAATGCACCCATATAAATTATTATTGTTAAATAAGAAAAAATTATTGTTAAATATTAAATAAATACAAAAAAAGTAATTATTAAACATTCGCTACTTGGTATAGTAGTACGATCGCTAATACACGCGACATTCAATTAAGCGGGATTAATGGAAACTCGCCATTCGATATAATAATTTTATGCTTCACTTGGTCGAACGACGTCGAGTATCTCCTAATAATAATCTTGTTGATTTTGACGATGTTCGCCAGTAGAGACATTTGATTTCATTTGAACTGATTAATTTTATTTGGAACTTCATTCCTATTAACTTAATGAACTCGTACATCTTTTCCATTAACGCTACGTGACCAGCATCATAATATGAATGAACACTTATAACTTAAAAATTGACATTACTACTTATATAAGACCTCAAAATTATTCTGTTTTCTTAAAATTCTTTCGTAGGTACAATTGAAATTGCATTTACACTGCTGATGAATTGTATTGTATTCTGTCAATGTTCCATTAAATATTAAAATTCTAAATACAGCATATGGTGATGTATATAATTAACGGTAGATTTTGAATTTTAATATATATTGCTGTCTGTACAAGATTTTTTTTTGTATATATTGTTATTTTAAATTATACGTTCTATTTATTTAAAAAATTATCATTATCCGTATATTGTTCATTAAATAAGAATAAAATTGTTATTTTACTATATATATTATAACGAAACATCAATTTAATTTTCCGTCTTCTATTTTACAAATACATATGATTTATTATTATTAAATATTATGAATTATCATTATTAAGCAATTCGTACAATTAATCCATGCCTTATTATTCCTTTACAGATGTTTAAAGCATTATTCTTTATTCAACAATAAAAATTTTGAAAATCGTATGCAACCATCAATATCTTTTTTTCCTTCTTTTTTTTTCTTTTTTTGTTTTTTTTGTTTTTTTTTGTTTTGTTTTAAAAACAACAAGGTATTATAAAAATATTTACGTTAGTATACTTATTATTATAGTATGCTATAATGAAAAAGTCGTAATACTTTATATAGCTTTAAAACTTCATTTCTAACTTTGCAGATAAATATATAATCGGACTTAAATAAAAGCACTTTTATATACGAAATATTCTACATAAGTTAACTTCTTTTAAGTTTTTGTTTTATGATCGTGATTACATTTGTCGTTGTCTCATTTTTTTTTTTGTTTTTTTTTTTAATACTGCTATAATCAATTTAGAAAAAACGATAAAATCAAAAAATATTGTATATAAGAAAAAAATTGGCAGACTGTCGTGGTTTTTTAATCTTATAAATAGCGAGATTTATATTTCAATGATTATCAACAATAATATTTTCGTACAAGGTGATTACAATTTATATATGCATGAAATTACCATTAACCATAGTTAATTATACTACCATAATAATGCATTATATAATCATAATTCATAAAACTTCTATTCTACATAGAATCAAGATAGCAAATAAAGTTTAAATACACAATTATATTAAAAATTTCAGTTTTGTTATGAAATGTATAATCATGTAGAATATGGTAATTGTAGAAAAGAATTAGACTCTAATTTATTAGTAATTGTACAAATGAATTATGATATCAATAAACTGGCTATTTTAATTTTTACAATGTTATCGAATTATTAGAGGAAAAAATTATTCGATTGGCACACTTTTAAAAAACCATACATTTTAAATTATAAACAAATAAATTCTTAACATTATTACAGATGTTAAAAACTTAATTCGTTTGTTTTTTTTTTTTTTTAATCGTTAATAAAATTAAGTGCAGATATAAAAATCAACATATCGTAAGAGATAATATTGTTTAAAATAATCCCTCTCAAATGACGTATGTGAAAGACGATAAGTCCGCCATTAGATAAAAATTACTGATAAACAATTTATGTATTCTGTGTATTATTATCATATACGCATATATCTATATAGCTTAATTTGTAAATCAGCTGCGTTTAAAATTAGAAAATTAAATCCAATAATATACTTTTACTACGAATTAGATAAAGATATTTATGATATATTAGCGACATTATATTTACACGAGTTAAAGTACGTATAAAATTAATTAATAAATAGACCAGTTTTTTTTTTTTTTTTTTTTTTTTTTTTTTTTTAAATGTTTCAATACTTATTTACACCATTAATCTTATTGATAATTTCATATATAAAATAATTATTATATAAAACATTCATTGGTTTCGCGAATTGGCATGTTCTCTTCAATTTTGAAAAAATTATCCTCTGACGTCATTTGATCATGTGTTCAATAAAATATGCCATCTGCTATTGGAAACTAACATATGACATAAAAACTTTCTTGTATATTTAAATCAATTTGAAAAAATAAAGGTAACCATATTTTCACAAGAGATTATAATATAGTAATCTTTATTTTAAGAAAAGTTTACATTTGTGTCAATTAATGAATTTTATCAGTTAGAAAGAAGAAACTGCATGCACACATCGATCATAAAAATTCTTAAAATTCATTATAACCATGTGGAAGAAATAATAATTATTCCATTCAACATTTGATTTATTATCTAAATAAGTAAAATTATTTTCAATATTAACTCGGTTAAATATGAAATGTTTGATAAATTATCCTCGTCGTAACAATATTTCTTACTGTTAATCTGATAAGTCATACAAGAAGACAAGATGATTATGTCTTGGATCTTTAGTACATTGGGTCAGCTGATTTGCCGTGCATTACATTGTAGTCATTGCGATGTCGACTCCTATTTTATAACCCCCCCCCAACTATTTTCGCCAAGTTAAGATAATGTTTGATATAATGTGAACAAATAATTGAGTAAATTATTTTTCAAAGAGCACCTTTAAATATTCTAAAGCTCTAATTGGTTTTCTTTAATCTGTCAAGTACCGAAAATTCGTATATATATATAGATTTAATTTTATTAACTTTGGTATATTATTTACATTATGCTTGAATCAAGTATAAATAATTGCAAAATAAATGTTTAAATAAGTTTGAATTCTTCGTTAATTTGTAGAACAATAAAAATAATTTATCAGTATAGTGTGAATAAATTTTAAGTCCTGATTGAAAAATCTTTGTTTACTGTTATATTGTTAATATTAACAAAGATGTCAAACCAATGATAAAAACTATCTTTGGATTTAGAACAAAATATATTAATACTAAATTTTCTTTTCAAAGCTATGAAAATTTCGCTAAAAATAAAGAACATTCGATATCGATAAGTAATTAAAGATTTTTTCAACTACTTCCAACATTATTTAATAAGAGAAGAACTTAATTCAAATCACGTCTAAATAAGAATATCTATTAAATGCAAATTATTAATGAGGCATTTTATTGAAACACTTCACTAATAAATAACCAAATACCTATAATTAAACAAGTAGATAAAATGGAAGTCTGATGAAGTTATGCAACGATATATCAATATATCTCGCTTCGTATTCAATATTCAATTAATATTAATATAAAATTAATATTATTATGATAAATAATGTAATTGCTGTTTCATATATTTTCATAGATACACGAATACATGACATTCTTATTTTTATATTTTTTCATTTAAAAAATGAATTAATATAAATATTATCAAAAATTCTAAAATCATTATCAATGTAATATTAGCTTAATCATAAGCATGATATAACAAAGCCACAAGATTTTCATTGTTTAAAAGATGTTTATGGATTAGTCTTGTAAAATTTCTCTTAATAACTTATGTATTTGATCGAATGAAGTATTCAGAAATGTATATTACATTTATATTTTACCATTAAGATATATTTAAGTCATTTTTACAAATTTAACAAATGTTTGATAATTTCGTAGGTTATATTATAAAAGATATTCTTTTTTTTGTTCGCATAGGTTTCGTTTCGTGTACAATTACGAATCCGATATGGTTCGTGAAAACAAGGCTGCAGCTAAATCATCACACAAATCAAACTAGTACGATAGATTGTATTCGGAGGATTTACCGACAATCGGTAAGAACGATATTTCTCAATGAAATTATATTTCGGATATAAATAGAAAAAAAATTGCCTTTTAACGTATGTATTTAATGTATAAGAAAAATAAATGTTAAAATGGTGAAATTGCTTTATGTTACATAATAATAGTCGTATGAAATATTTCATCGATCAATTTCAATGATGCATTTTCTACCCTGTAAATTCATATCCTTTGTATTTTATGAAAATTACGTTAAAAATATAATTACTATATATATATATATATATATATATATATATATATTGAATATGTAATTGATATTCCTTAAAATCAATATCAATTAAATAATATAATTAAAAATCTATAGTAATAATAATAAAAATAAGCGAAGGAAGAATTTCGTAGTACTAGTTAATTCTTTTTTACCATCGATTTTCTAACTTTTAGTCCATTCTGAGATCTAAGCATTTTCTTGGCATATGACCATAAACATTGTTTAAATTAAGAAGTACAAACTGTAAATAACGAGTTAAAATTTAAAATAACAATGAAAATACTGTTTTGTTTAGTAAACAACTATATTTATGTAAAATTGCATGTACTTGTTCTAGCTTTATTAAATTTTGACAAAAAATTACAATATGCAAAAGACATTTAACCCTCGATTTTTCAGTTTTATTCTATTTCAAAATTTTATTAATATAAGTAATTGACATATAATACATAATGTTAGTTTTATTGAACGATAGTCATGTTTAATGTCAATTTCGGTGTATCGATAAAATATATTATATGAAACCTTACAATGATAAAGTAAATCTCATAATAATATAATCGCAGCGTGCAAATTAATTATTGAATATAAATAACGAACGAACATGTCTTTTCAATGAGCTCGCTAATTAATAATAGCAAGTACATTTGTCTACCTAAGGGTGGATTATTTGATAATTTTATTACCAGCGTACAAATCGTAAAACCTGACATCGTAAAGCCATGGAATCAATTTGACTCTATAAAATACTTTGATAGTGATGTAAGCAATGTAAGCTTTAATAAAAAAATCTTATTAAAATATTCATTGATAAAAGCAGTAATTATATTCGTCAATAAAATTGATCGATGCTTTAAAAATAGACGATTGATTCCTAATACGCTTATGTCTTATAATTTTCTAATTTCATTTGTCAGGCTTTGATAAATGAATTCCATCCCGACAGAATTCATCGTCACTAATGAAAAGTCCACTGATTTTGTGTATAAAAATGTTTACAGGGAATAGCGGGATTTTACAAGGGTATTGTCGCATCGTATTTTGGCATCAGCGAAACAGTCGTGTACTTCGTCATCTACGAGGCTATAAAGACTTGGCTGATTACGCATCATACGCCGGCGTCCTCACCCGATGACAATTCCAAAATGTCGCGCAACTTCTTCGAGTTCATGGCCGCGGGCGCAGTCTCCAAAACCGTCGCTTCCTGCATTGCATATCCACATGGTAAAACGCTTTGTACGAGTTGACATTTTTAAGCAAGTGGAGTGGGAATATTTTGCATTTTTTCTTTTTCTTTTTCTTTTTCTTTTTCTTTTTCTTTTTCTTTTTCTACCTATTGTTGTGTTCACGACATTGAGCGAATCGTTCTCGAAAGCTTCTCGTAAAAAAAAAAGAAGAAAAGACTTTAAGAGTAATTTCGTATTGACGGAAATTGTTAAAATCGTCGAAGGCAAAATTCGATTTTCATTTATTATGAATGAAGAATGCACGAATCGATGAATTATAGAATAATACTTTTTTGTAATGCCTTGTTCATTCAAATAAAAGCTCGTGAGTCATTTCAATTATTTAATTTCATTTTGTTACATATATTTACGAAATTGTTTAATAATTATGCTTAGCCGATACTTTTTACAATTTTACGATAAATGGCATATATGTTTGATATTTATTTTTAACTCGACGATTTAAATAATTTATTTAATATTTCCTTAATTAATTTTAAAAACAATTTTCGTGCTGGATATAATTTTGCCAGAAGTGAAACTCGAAGAACCTTTCATTTTATTTGTAATATTAAACAATAATATATAATTATATTAAATCATACAGATAAGAGTATTTGTATATTTGTACTTTACATACTCTAATTTGTAATATTAATAATGGTAAATACAATTTTTTTCTTTTATTTACTTAATTTTTTTTATTTTTTATTTATTTATTTTTTTTTTTTATACTATTTTCTCGTATCTTCTCACTCCATTATTTTTATCGCGTTCAGATGTTTATATTAATAATTTGCACATTCGCCGTCATTGTAATTACTTTTGTGATAAATGAACTTCTTCGAATTTCTTTGTGCATCGTATTACACCTTTATTTTTCCTTTCATGCTCGTTCTAATAATTTATACCTACATCCTTTATGTAATATCAAAATGCACCATTTATAAAAGAAAAAATATTGGCATAGCTCATAATTTTTGCATTATTCGTAATTTGAAAAATTGCCACTATTTTCTAATACAATTCAATTATCTCCATAAGTGAATTATTCATTCAAAATTGCATAAAATTAAAATTACTTTCAGATTAACATTATATTATGAAGACATAATTAAATATGATTATACACTGCATAATAAACGTTGTTTTTATATTTTTCACAAATACTTATTACATCACTCTCTCTCTCTCTCTCTCTCTCTCTCTCTCTCTCTCTCTCTCTCTCTCTCTCTCTCTCTCTCTCTCTCTCTCTCTCTCCCTCTCTCTCTTAGAACGGTTTTAATGTTTACTAACGAACGTCATTATATAAAAGAGTAACAATTTATATTAATTCGTAATAATTCGCGTCAATTTGTTTAACAGAGAGCTCTTAAATTTATTCTAATTCTATAACCTTCATTTTTGATAGTCGGCCAAAGTTCTCGTTTACTTTGCAAAAGCGCTCACGTTATATAAAGCTCGAAATGCTCTCGAAATGCTCTCGAAATGCTCTCGATACACGTAGATGAATGCAAAATAATTACTATTAAATTTATCGCTTTATTAATTTTAAAAATAATACTCTTGCGAAATGCATGTATACTTTTACCCAAAGTCTTACCGCAGTTTTATCAAATTCACAAATTGATCATCATCTTATAAAAATACGACTTTGTTTGAATATTTGCTTTGACGCGCGTTTAAAATGTCACTTTAACGGTGCTATTGGATCGGAATCATAGTTTGTAAAAATAATAATGCATCAATTTAATTATATAATTCATAACTTTTATTATGTTAAATTATGTTAAATTCACAAAATTTATTGCTTATATTAAGCTGATAAGAATCATTATCATCTAGTGAATAAATATAATTGACTGCATTCAATACCGTAATCTTATGACATTTATCTATAAATTTTACCAATTGTATCGCATGTATTACCTCCTCTACTCGGCATGACTTTAAAATCAATTCTTTCTTTATTTTGTTCATTATTAAAATAAATTTCATATAGTTAATTTGACCTTAAATAAACAAATCATTACGTTTAATTTCGATACAGTAATATTAAATGTGTTGAACGATTATAATAACTTTATCCTGTAGTATTATTGTGTACTTTGAAAATTAAATTTATGGAAATTGAGAAAATTTTATCATTCGAGAAAACGGTATTTATGCGATCCCATAATACGCTTACATATTGTCGCGCATAAAGCCTCTTATTATTACAATTGTTAATAACGTTAATACAAATAATCCTAATGCGAAATATAAAATGAAATATTTGCAAATCATCTTAAAAGAATTCTTAGCAAAATTTTTCTTAGCAGAACTTGTCAATACAAAAAAGTAATTGCTGTACTACATTTGCATGGAGAATTCATTTATATCGATTACCAAAATATTACCAACATGTGTAGGATGCTTAAAATAGCATTGCAACTGTTGTGCAATCATTGTGTTTCGTTCTTCAAATGCGTATAGCATTGCATAATATAATTTAAGGTTATCACATAATTTTTTTTAACAGATGACGGATTATTAACGAACGACAATGTTATTTTATGCACATAGATTGGCATTATTTTTTTTTTTTACACATTGTACAAAATTTATTCATTATTCTCGTTAGTATCGCATTCTCATTAGTTTCAGGGGTACTAAATTTATCATTTTCCGATTGTACAAAATTTATTCATTATTCTCGTTAGTATCGCATTCTCATTAGTTTCAGGGGTACTAAATTTATCATTTTCCGACCTCAGTGTTTTTGTTTTTTTGTTTTTTGTTTTTTTGTTTTTTGTTTTTTTTGTTTTGAATTATTAATCTGAAATTATACTCAAAATCAAAACCTTTTCTATATCAAGCATTAATTTACATTTTCACTGTTAGAGCAGATCTTTGCATTTTTTATTTTTTATATTTTAATTCTTAATCACGATATAGACGCAATTTTATTATATTTATTTGCCACAGACGTATTTAATAAATAAATAATTTTCTTTCCATACAGAGGTGGTTCGGACGCGATTGCGGGAGGAGGGGACGAAATATCACGGATTCTGGCAAACGACGAACACAATATTAGCAGAAGAAGGTGCACGAGGTCTTTATCGCGGCCTTACCACACAGCTGATTCGTCAAATACCCAATACGGCTATTATGATGGCTACCTACGAGGCTGTTGTTTACATCCTCACGAGTCAGTATGAGCCCGTTCCAACGAATAACAACGTTAACAATGCGGTGCAAAGCACGACCCAGTTCTACTCGGAAACTAAAACGAAAAGCCAGCTTGCTTAGAATTCATTAAAGATCCCAGAATAATAAACAGGGCAGCCATGTTTTAATCGAAGGTGTTAGCGCGAAGTGATAGCGCGAACGAAATGCCAGAGGCGGTTAGTCAATAGAAGTTAATATTTTCCGCGCCTACCAACTGCCGATATTCATACAGCAACGAAGCAAACAAATGTGATGACTCCGCCTCACAGACTAACGTTTTCTCCCCTTTACCGACAGGCGTGTCGACTGATATCATCACCACAGTTATGTTATTTTCACCAGCAACAAATCGTCCAGCATTACTCGTCTACTTGAATTTGGCTCTAAAATGAAATCGAGATCTCGTTATTGGTCGCGGCATGTGATATTTTAAAACTTTATTCTTATTCATTCTTTGCGACAGTCTTGAATCATCTTCCAACGCTTCTCAAAATCATTCTATTTACATAATGTCATTTACGAGAGAAGTAATCTTAGCGAGACATTACATTTCCATAGGCACCAACGATATTTTACGAATAATACAATAAGATGTCATTTTATTGAAAATTGAGTCGTTGACAAGATGAATAAATGCATGTTTACCGAGACTTATTCTAGCCTCAATAAAAAATTTCGATTGATTATTAAAATAATAGAATGAAGAGAATAATAAGGAAAATTATCACAACGATGCTAATCAATTTAACGTTCATTTTAATTTTAATTTATCTTACGCAATAATATTTAGGTAGTCAAATTGTTTTTTGATCCGAGGCCTTTGTCCTTGCCAGTTACAAGCTCGATATTATTTTAGCCATTTACATTATTCGGCAGATTTCCAAAAATTATATTTATATATAAACCGAGACATCAAATTATTTGAATAAATCATGGAAAGATGATGATTTTTATGGATTTTTCTAAACTATCGAATAATGCCGTCGTCCTACCTAATGTAAAAACGATAATTACAATTTTCGCCCTTTTATATTTACAGGATATTAAAAATAAATAAATAAATAAATAAATAAATGATAATAATAATAATAATAATAATAATAAATGAAATAAACAAAAAAATAAAATAAAATAAAAAAGTAAAAATAATGAACATAGACTTGAGGAGAGCAAAACATATTATTTCTGAATATCAGCATATCAGCTGCGCTATCGTTAAAATTAATTTCTATGTTAAATTGCTGATCGATTACTAAAGCGTTGACAACTTTATACCTCATTGAAAAATTTGTATTCGTGCGATTAAGTAATTACCAATTAATTAATCAATTATTCATCGATTCTAATAAATCTATACACTTTCGAAGCTTTGAAGTTTATATACAGAAATTAAAAGGATACCTAAATGTACGAAAATAACTCTTATCTGTTGGAATTATTATTTGGATGCTGTAACATTCGTAGAACCTGAAGTTGTAATTATAATAAGAAAGACAATTTGTTCTTGTAGTCCCTTATTTTGACGTTAAAAATAATTTTGGAACCCATTTTTCACGCATTATAATTTAGGACCCCAAATTTATGCTAAATTTACATAAAATGCTTCTTTATTTAAACTTCGTTCGTAATGTCTTTTTAACAACAGTCATGGTGTTTGCAGCAAAATATTTATTTACATGATTAGAGGCATATAGATAATATATTTAACCTTGCCTAAAGTTTGTACATATCAATTGGCTTTGATAAATCATAACCCGTCAACTTACCGATGAAGGGGAGAATCTGTCTGTGTAGTGGAGATCTCATGTAATCCGCGCAGCGTGCCATTAGTTTTACAAACTTTCAATGTTGTATAAATACTTACATATACTTTTAATTATTATATAAATATTTAAAAAAAAAAAGAAAAAAAAAAAAAAAAAAAAAAAAAAAAAAAAAAAGAAGTGTTTAATATACTCGTTTTTAAAGTTATTTATTAATCAGTTTAAAAACTTTAAACAAGTGTTTTTGATAGGATGCAGAATTTTTGCACTGTTGATATTTCTGTTCACTCGAAGCGTAATTATTATACACTTCAAAAAATACGGGTGTCTTAGAGAGAGAGAGAGAGAGAGTGAGTGAGTGATCTTATTAAATTTTTATTTGTTTTATTGATCATAATTATCTGCTTCTTTTTTTCTTTTTTTTCTTTTTTTTATATAGAAGAGATGATCATTATAACTTGTAAATATGTGATAGTTATTAGTCGTTAGAATCTACTCGTAGATTCTTCATGATTCCCAGCAACGTAGCGGAAACATTGTATATATTATTCTATTTCAATCAGAGTAAGATGCAAATAATATTTGAGTATTAATTATATAATTTAGACATCCTCTCATTACTACTAGCTTTTTTTAATTTATTTTTTTGATTGCTCGATCACATTGATCGATGCAAGAAGATGCGATGCGAATGCATACTTCTGTGATTTTAGTATAGATTGAGACTTGATGTACGAAGCCCTTATTGTTAAGAATTTAAATTTGTATAAAATGTTTTCTTTGCAGATAAAGTAAATATTTAAGAAATGTACATATAACAAATCAATATACGTAGGAAGAACGAGCAAAGAATTATAAGAGCAATGATGTTCACGAAAGACTGAATTTAATTTTAGTATAATTATGTCGTACTGTATACGTCTAGTGAACAAAAAGAGAATTCGACATGCGATAAAAAAAAAAAACTATTCGTATTTGCGTTGGTATCTTCAAACTATCCTTTTTTTTCGGAGAAAAAAAAATAAAAAAAAAATAATAATAATAATTGAATTGAATTTTCTTATTGAACATAATTCTTATATTAGACAAAATTTAAATAATACAATATTCTTTTAGACAAATCACACCAGTAATCACTTAATTAAGCCTAACACGTATTCTAATGTTTTTCTGCGTGTCCTTGTAGTGATAAAAACTAATAAATAAAACATAAAAACAAGAAAAATTATATATAAAGTAAAATATATCTTAAAGATTATAATCAAGTAGGTTTATTTCTGATGTAACTTAATCGACCCCAGATTATAAAAATTATTTTTATAATATCATTGTAGTTCCAGATGCCAACGATAATGTCAAATATCGCAGAAGTTTTTAAATTCAGTACTTTCTGTATACGAGAAACCAAGTACAACTAGTTGAAGCAGTTAATTCAGCGTGTTTCTTAGGCAGAAATCAGCTACGACTTGATAAAAGAAATTAATGAAAACATTAATAATTCAGATTGCGTTGAAAAGTAATGTTCCTAAATGTATTAAAGCCTATATAAACTTGTAAACCTTAATTTTTCCCGTTATAAGATTTCAAGATATTAAATATGCATTAACGAAAAATTTCATCGCTCTTTTATGCATTACAACCTTCATTGTGACTATTCCCAATGAATTTCTTATCACGATCGAATTAATCATTAATAGCAAATGTCACCATTATAACTTCATCGCGATAATTACTCATATTCGATAAATTCATCATATTGAAAGAATAATTTGGATGTTATAATTAAATTAAAAAAAATCTATATCCTTTTCTAATAATTTGTATTTCTTTTGACTTCATAACTTCATTACACAATTATTCTGCACAATCAAGTTCATTGAAATACGTAATAATACAACATTAAACTTTAACTCGTAATTTACGATTTGAATCCTAAGCTATTCAATATTTTTATTTCGCCCTGAATTTTTTTCTTTTAATTTCTTTTTTTAATATTTACAGTTTTAAACGTAACATATTTCTAAATATGCAAATGTGATGAATCCAAATTTTTTCATGATAGTGAAACGAGCATTTAAAAATAAAATTAAGCCCACTTCTTCGTTATTTCTTTAATATTAATACTTTATATATATATTTGATAGTATTTGGTAACTAAGTAATTAGTAACCAAGAAAAATTATATAAAATTGTAGAGTAAAAAATATAATACAAACTTTAGTCTATTTTTTATATTATACACAAACTTACATTAATTTCAATACAATTAAATGAAAAATATTTAATCATTGATTATTAACACTCGTTTAAAAAGTTTGTTTAAAATATTAATTTTAGTAATTCAATATAGAGGCATTTTATATAAATAAACATATAAATAGCACAAATTAATAATGTATATGTGTATTTAGTAATACAAGGCAAAATTTAATAATTAGGAGAAGAATATATGTAGTTTTGGATTATTATTATATAGGTTACAAACATAGATTTCTGCAAACATTATTTATTATAAACATAATATAGTACTTATTATTTACTTAAGTACAAAGTTAATAATTGAATGAAACTTATTTTCAAAGTAGCAAATTATTATCACGGTTTATTAATATAGATAATAATAATAATTATTTAAATAATATAGATAATAAAATATAATTAGATAATTAAAATTTCGTTTTTTAGAAGTATTCATTTTTTATCCAAGTATAATCGAAGAATAAAAGTGTAAATCATTAAATTAATTAATTTCTTTACTCTGCCTGCATAACGTACATATTTCGCATTTTTTCTTAAGTTTGTATTTTTTTTTTTTTCATTTGTATTCCATTTTTTTTTTTTTTTTTTTATTAATTTCGTTCATTATGGCAATTATACTATGTGACTGTTAACTGCTGAAACGCATCAATTTCAATGAAATAGAATAGGTTTCGACACGACTGTGCTATATGCTTTAACGTCACACATTTCCTCAAAGCTAAGTAAAATTAAATATAATATCGATACTCTTTCTAATCATACCATTCCTAAGGATAGTATCCAATAAAATAATTCCTTCGTACCTTATTGGAATAGAGTAAGAATTAACTCTATCGATAAAGGTTTTATATTCTGTTATAACGGCCGACACTACCAATATAAAGTTTAATTTACTAATATTGAAGAGCCAATATCAACGCATTAGCCATTCATACTACTACTACTACAATTTCTGAAATCTGTAAAACTAGAATAAATATTTTTATAATAGTTTCGTGAAAATATTGATTTATAATTTACCTGTTGAACAATATCTAAAATATCTCAAAGTCTAATGGTCACAAAAAATAATGAAATTCTATAATTCTTCACATTGTCATTAAACAATATA